CACGATCTCAGGCTCATCCTTGTCTGAACGACAGATGCATAGAACCATTCAGAAACAAAAGGGCCTGAGAAATGCAACAACAGGTTGGAAGCTTGTGTGAGAGCTCCTCTGGATGGATGATCTATTGGATTTCTCATAAGAAATGCTGCTGCATTTTCTTTTCATGCGTACCAATGGAAGGAAAGAAGACCATTTTGCCATAAAACAGGTTTTGCCTCTATGCATGTGACTTTCCGACGTTCATACACAGTTCTATGGCACTGTAGCTGTGAAAACCAGACAGATGTCATCCACACATCATGTTAAGACTCTGCTTTTGCTCCCTGCTCTCAGAACGGAGACTTGGGGTCGGTGGGAGATTCTCTGGTTTTCATTCTCAAAAGCTGAAATACTCTTATTACAGAGGACAGTTTTGATCAATAGAACTACAGTGCAGTTGGAAGCTGCTCAGCTGGCATTGACTTTCTTCCTTCCTGTCATCCAGAACATTGCACAATCCTTTTTTTTTTTTTCTTTTTTTTTTTCCCCTTTTGGTTGTTAGTTTAAAATAAGTAAAAGGAACGACTCACGAGTGAAACCCAACAAATAATAACAATAATAAAAAAAAGTGCCAAGTATACTGAGCAAGGAGAGACTGAGTACCCATTAGTAAGGTTAGAGAGGGGCATTAATAAAAGAAAAAATTGTTAAACATGACTCATTTCTTTCCCTTCCTTTCATAAATCTTATTATTTCCTTGGAGAACAGCCATGCACTCAGTGCCTGGAACTGCATTTTTAAATGATGCTCTTGGTTTAGCTACTACCTGTCTTTGCTTAAAGAAAACAAACGGCAAATACTCAAAAGCAGCCCCACTTCCTGTATTAAGGCCTTTAAGTCAAGCCAGGTTTCCTGATCCTGTGAAAAATGCCTGTTGTTTATATATGTGCAACAACTACACTGCAGCTCTTGACTAAAAAAAGTGACTGCCTCATTTCTGCTTTTCCAGCTACACTTACAAAGAAATTGAAAGGAGTTGAACAGGAATGTCTTGAATGGCTTCTAAATGGCAAAAAAACCACTGTATCAGCCAAAGATCTTCCTTCCACATCAGTAAACACTGCTTTTATCTGATTATGTATTACAAATTACAAATGATTATTCTACACAAACAAGTGTGGAAATTACTACGTGTTAATTTGGTCAGATGCATGTTAGCATTGGCTCATAATCAAATCGAGCATTTATGAGAACTTGTGTTGGGTAAGAGAAGGTGTGCCTTCATTAATGCAAGGCTGGCAGTCACACTTAATCTATCCCCATGCACACCTGGCTTTCCCCCTCTTTTCAGCAACTGAACTGAAAGTTGCCAGCAATAAATGCTTCTTTTTGACAAATCTGATGCGGACATTCGCACGATTCAACTGCAGCCAGTTCCCAACTCTTACTTTTAATATAGAAATTTGAAACCATTTCCAACCAGCCTAAAGCCTGTGAAGGGTAAACGGCCTTTTTAAAAATACTACTGTACCTTTTAAGCATGCAGATTGCCAGGCTGAATTTTAAATGCAATCACTTTGCTTCCAGTACACTCAAAAAATCAGGAGTCAGTCTCGTTGAATCAGTCCTCCATACCTAGGACCTGCTATTTCCATCATTTTAAGCCCATGTGCTGCAATTATGTGAATTGTCCACTTTCTTTTTTCCCCCCTCAGCCCCCTCAATGAAATGCATATGCAATACAAAACCCATTTATCAAACTGGAAATTGCTGTTGTATTTAATCTTCCTAAAGAGAGCAAAATCAAATTACGATGTGTAAAGAATGGTAATCTGTGAAATTCAAGGGAATACTCCAGAGATATTCCTCCACATCTGCAACAGAACAGGTCGAAGAGGTCTAATGTAGAAGATGTGGGTAGGAAGACATGATGTGAGCATACATAATGAGAAGATGAAAACTCTCTTAATCTTTGCAGATTGAATGAAATTTAATTACATGCTATATTGATTGTTGTGGATTACTGGAAAGAGACAGTGAAAAGGGAAAAAGGCAATTACAGTGAAATTGTAGTCTGACCCTTCAATTGCTTTTGGCATGAAAGGTTATTAAGTATTTGGAGCATCAAAAATTCTTTATCTTCTATGATAAATCATTAGCAACAGACTTAGATGCAAAACTGATTAGGGAAAAAAAAAACAGCCAATTAAATCTCGGTGGTTTTTTTCCTTAAAAAAAAAAAAAGGCAAAGCAACAAAATACAGAAGTTTCACATCATTTCAAGAATGGTTCCTAAGTCTACCAAGCTTTAGTTCACTGTTGACTGACAATAAATGATACTCATCAGTAGAAATTACTCTTTCATGCTAGAAACGCTCTTTCAGCATAACTGCTTGTCCTTGTTTTTCCTCACAGAAAAGTGCACTTTGAAATGATGTTTCTTTGATTTCATGGAAATAAGTAAGCATGACAGAAAGAAAATTCCGTATTGTTGCAGCTGCAGTCTCTCAAAGGTTTTTCTTTTACACTGGAACTTCACAGCGTCCCTTGAAAAACCAGGCAAGGTCCTACCAGGTTAGGATTTAGATGAATAGAAGAAAACAAATAAATAAAAGAATACTAAGACTTGATTACAAAAAAGGTAGGATATGTAATATTTGGCTGTACATTTGCTGATCTCAAAAAAGAAATAATAAGGAGTAAAAAAAAAAATGGCATTGTGATCTGGACAGACCTATCACAACAAGATCACTGGACTTGACTCAAACTCGTGGTGCTTGCAGGAATTCATATGCCTTATGAATAAAATCTGCCTGCCCTATAAAAGTGACTTTGACTCACCTCATTAAGAGGTAACATTCAAGAAGGCACCAGATGACTCTAACTTGCAGTGAAGTACTGCACAGGATAACATCTGAGAAACCCTGCTCAACACTGGGCTGGAAGGCACGGCTCTGAGCATTTGTGTAACACCAGTCTTTGGGTAAGACTCAGCAGAGCACTGTCACAGACAGACTGCCTTGAATTTCAATGCTTCCAGAGCAGCATTATGCCCATTAAATAATGAGTCATGATATTAAAAAGCAACACCATTCAGCTAAACCCAAACACTGATAATTGATGTCACTTACATTGATGCAGTTCTGATGATTTCAGGTGGCTACCTGCTAATTGCAAAGAAGCTGGGGAGTTGTTACCACAAGATGGAAAAATGAGCAAATACTTAAAGAAAGGATGAAACTGAGAAAGTATCTTTTCTCAGTGACAACCAAATAGTTCATCTGCATTGATAAACTGCTGTGTAATAAACAAAAGACACGTCAGGGAGAGACTGAAGGGAAATGGACAGGAAATCTGAACATCTCAGCTTGATTAACTTCCTATATTTTTCTGTATAAGAACTTTCTAGAACAAGAAATTGCCTACAGTGCTTTTACAACCTGAAGGAGCAACGTAACATTTTAACTAAAGTAATTACACTTTAAAAACAGCCACCAAAACAGAGAAACAGCTTATGGAGAACTTTCTGTTTACTCTGAACCACAGCCATTACATGCAACGATGTCTGCCTAGAACGTTATGGACTCCTGCTGATCCTTCAGGGGTTGCTATGCTGAGATGAACCCAGAGCTGGTAAAATCCTACCCAAAATTTCACTTGTGAACACCACCAAGAACAAAACAATTCAGAGGGAAAATAAACCATTCGATTGCGCTATGATGGATATATTGAATGTGGGAGGAGGATTTTTCTCTTAAAACTTACATTCTGCAAAACTTCTCCGAATTATCATTAGAAAATACAGCTGCTGACTCCTTCTGTTGACTCTCCTCCTCTAACTTATGAATGCTTACTTTTGACTAACACCCACCACTCCACATTCCTGTCCTCCCTTCTCTTTTTGTACACATGAATGTGTATGTGAAAGTGTGAGGGATGCCAGTTCTGTAACAGTCACTGACACTACCGGCGTGTTACTGTAACCATCCATCATGCTTGGATTTGCAGGGTCGTTCATTCAGAAAGTAGTAATAGTATATATTCTTTACACTATTTGTCTGCATTTTGAGACTGCAGTAGCCTTTGTTAAATCAATATTATGAGTAAGACTTTCAGAAGCAGCCTAGAAGCACATTTGGTATCATTAAAAATATTTACACTGCGAGTTTTATTTGGTGCTCAACACTGAATGCCACATTTATATTAAAATCTCTTGTAAAGTTTGCTCCTTCAGCTTCGTGTGGAAAGCATGGATGTATTTAATCACATACTTATTTCTTTGATGTCCCACATTTAGAACCTTATGAATCTATGCAAATGCAGACCTCTTTGAAAGAATTAGTTCCCATACGAAACATTATCTGTCCCTTGGCAACCAGTATGGCTTAGCCTGTTCTAACTACCACATAAGGGTTCTTTGCTTACCTAACAAGATTTTTCAAGGCTAGCGAATTAAAACTGAATGTAACAAAAGGAATTAGTGGATGCTTCCTTTCCTCGCCAAAGATAATATAAAATTTAAATGGCAAAGTCATTAAAGAAACATATGGGAGCAATGCTTAAAATGACTATTAAAAGTACACAGCATAAGAACTTGGTAGAGTGCTTTTTAAGTAATTGGGAGACCAAATATGCAACTTCCAGCTAAAAACTTAAAGTGTATTTGCCATAAAAACACATACCCACGCAGAGTTGATATATTCAGGGCAACTGCAAAAGCTGGTACAGTTCACCAGGACATCCACCAACCCTTACATCCATGAACTCTGCAGCCTCCTTAACTTTCTACTTCAAAAGTCCTGACTTTGACCCAAGAGTTTGAGGGGGTGCCCTCACGCACCCCTCCAACAAACCTCTGCAGCTACCACTTTCCCTGTATCTTTGGCTTCAGGGCAGTGCTTCGGTGCAGTTTCCCTCCCTAGCAAGCAGGCACTTCGGGCAATTTTCCCAGCCTACAGCACCCTCCCAGGAGAGCTGGTCATCACGGGACCAGCACCGCGCTCCCCCCCAGCCCTCCGTACCATTTAGCTGGTTGTAGACCACTTCCTCCAGGTGGTCCAGGCGCTGCAGGATGGACTCCCTGTCAGCCAGGCTGCCCACCTTGGCTCCTCGGCTCCTGACACGTCGGTCCGCGCTCCGGACAATCTGCACCAGCTCCTGGGAACGATCCTGGATCCTGCAGTAGACGGAGAAGAGGATGATCCCCACGAAGACCAAGATGTTGACCGTCAACAAAGTTTTGATTTTCCGTGCCACCGCCATGGGAGCCGCGGGCGCTGGGGGCACATCAAGGCGCGGCGGCCTCGCGGCCACCCGGCGCCGGGGCGCGGCGGGGCGCGGATGCGAGCGGAGCTGTCCTTCAGCACCACCGCGCCGCTCCCCGCCCGCCGGGGCCCGCCTTCGCCCCGCGGGGCCCGCGCGGCGTTGGGCTGGGCGGCATCGGGGGCGCCGCGGAGCCGTTGCTGGCTGCCCGCTGCCGAGCCGCCGCCTCCTCTCCTCTCCTCTCTTCTCTCCTCTCCTCCGCCGGCGGCTCCCGCTCGCCCGCCCTCGCTCTCCGCCGCCCCAAACGCAGAGCGCCGGTGCGGAGTGACGTGCTCCGGGGGATCTCATCTACATGCACACGGTGGAGCCGCCGTGCCGTGACCGCGCCGCCCCGCCTCGCCCGCTGCTCCCCTGCCGCTGGCTTTCGGCGCGATGGATGGGTGAGTGAGTGAGCCACGGGCGTTGCGTGGTTTTCTCTACCAGTGGCCATTTTCTCTCTGCTGTCCACCTAGAGGGCCCATATCCTACCCAAGCAACACTGCAGGCAGCTCCTGGGAAAGTACAGGACCAAGTCTTCTGTTGCCTATGGCTGCACCCCTGGAGTTTAGACTATGACCCACCTGTCTCGTGGCTGGAAATGAATCGAATCAAGCTGACATGCTTCCAGCAAGAGGGAGAGCTGCAAATGCTCTCAGCTCCATGGGTTTCCCAGCAGCCTAAGTGCAACCTTGGCTTGTGATTCTACCTGGAAGTGAAGTGGCTGGGATGGCTTCCATATGCAAAAGAAGTTCTTGCCAAGCATATACAAGTGGAGAGAAGCAGCCTAGGCCCTGATCAGTGAACACACACACAACGACTATGAAGAACTATCCAGATCACTTAGCCAACGACCTGTGGACACGAGGTAGTTGAGCCCTTTCAGACTGGCAGTTTCTGCATTATTGCTCACAATGGTTCTCTTTGTACCCCATCCCATTCAGAGTTTCTGCAGGAACGTTTCTCACCAGTAGTTACGTTTCTACAGAGGTCTATAAAGGATGGTTACTTTCTACAGTTCTGTACTCTTCGATACACTGAAGTCTCAATATGTAAATCCAGGGTGAGATGTCGTTCCCCTGTAGCCATATTGAAACTCACAGTCAGCTCAGCAGAAGTAGCTCTGAATCTGCAATTTTCTACTGTTTTGATACTTTTAGTACTATTGCTATCACAAGCCTGCCATAGCATTACACTTTGCTGGAAAACACCAATTTGAATGCTTACTGAACTAACGCTGGAGTGCAGCTTGTTAGGCACCTCCACAGCATTTAATATATTATAGCAACACCTGCTGGTCTTGATATAGTCAAGAAACTGTTAGCTCAGTTTTAGATTATAAACTCCAAGTTGCCCAGAAGAATTCAGTTTGGATTCTAATTCATCTGTTTGTAGTTTATCCCCAAAGCTGAAAACCACTTTCCACTATCACAGTTACCAGTTGATGTTTACTTTCACATCACTGCAGTTTTAAATGGGCTCTTTCAAAGATAGGATTTTATTTGTGGTGTGATTCGGGTCCAAATTTTCTTTCACTAAGCAAATGTTTTTAAATGGTCACTTAAAATAGCCTACAGCATATACAGAAGTACATGTGAGCATACTTACATGGCTGCAACCTTACCTAACGCCATTCAAATAATTGCTGGCTCTTATAGATCTCCGTTCAGTAAAGGAGCACAAAGCAATTTACAAACAACGTTCTATTAGAGCTGACTGAAGGATGGCAGTACTGTTTTGGAAAACTTTCAAGCTCAGAAAACATGTTTTCTTATTGCACTGGAACAAAGCCAGAAAGCTTTGAAATATTCTCACAGAGACAGCAGTGAGTTGAAACCATTGTTACCTGCTCATAAGGGTCAGGTTCCTATTTTTTCTCAGAAAGGCCTGTGTTGCCAGAAGAAAAATCAGTATATGCAACATCTAGGTTTCAGTGAAAAGACTTTTGTTGAAAACATACTAATCAACTCTGATTGCTGACCCATCCTACAAATGGGAAACATGGAAAGGCACTGGTAATTTGCCCCAGATCAATGCAACAAGCCAGAGGCAAATCTGGGACCCCATTCCAAATTGCAAATCCAGCTCTCTCTCTCTCTCTCTACCAGGCTATTATTCTCACTCATTGATTTTTACTCCTACTCGTCTCCATAAGGCTCATGTTTTCACTCATCCCAACCAAGATGAATAGGAAGCTTCTAGAAAGAAACACCAAGATCCTATGTATTTGAATGGCAGTCAATACTTCACGCTCTGCTTTCACTGTCCTCAGTCAAAATAAGAATCTGGATGAAGAACAGCTGACTGATGTGAAGTCGCCACAGGTGAAGATTCTAAAACAAAACATTGTAAAAAAGATACCTGACAGAGGCTTCTCCCCTCATGTAGTAAAGATGGTCTGTTGCCTTGGGGCACTCCTCAGCTGTTACTGGACTGCCAAGTAGTTAAAGCTAATAATAAATGATAACAGGAGAAAAACCCACCACCACCACCTTGCTCTTGTCTGTCTCTCTCTGAAACTCTGCTTGCTCTTCCAGAATGCTGATCTTGCTTCTGTTGACCCTTGATTACTGCAGTACATGCCAGCTTGGCATGGAGATATTTGTATAGAGGGAAACAATTGCTTCTGCATTTACAGTCCTGCTGTGCTTAGCTACTGAGGTGAGAGACAGTAAATTTCACTTTAAATAATAAAGAACTAAAAGATTTTGAAAAGAACCTTTCGCAAAGCACCAGTCCTGCAGCCATAGCCTTACCTGCAGGCCCAGAATAGAACTAGCAATGGCAATACAACTCAACTTGACCCCAAGTTCATTTAGAGCTAGGGAAGATCTTAACCTCAACAGGTACAGACTTCAATTCTTCCCCAAAAGCGGGCAGAAAAAGTCACTTCAGATAACCATATCAGACTCTCCTGCAAAGTACCTTATGTACAGCAGAAGCTTTGGAATTACTATGCCTTCTGGCGTTCAGTTCCAGGTGAGGAGGATACATACTCAGATACTCAGAGTTAAGGACTTTCAATTATTTTACGAGATGTTTTCTGTAGAATTTGATTTTTAGAGTCTGCAGAAGGTGATCAATGAAAGACATTACTTTTGGGTGGAAGTAAGATGAGGAGATGGTGACTGAATATCAGCTTAAAAGTTTCCGAACTTTAATAAAGCTTAGACTCAAGACAATAAAATATTAAAGTGGATAACCATGAAATCATTCCCAATCACTTCTCCAGAAGGACACAATGAGACTGATTTACCACATCTAAAGAGAAATACCTTTCTGATCATTCTACTGCATGATGTGAGACTTCTGCAAGAATGAATAATATGAAGAGAGACTTTGATGTTGTAAGTGTTTGAATGCTAGCTTTAATGAGAAAAAAAGTAAAGAACAAAATATGATGCCAGTGATGATCTGTAACTACAGATTCCAGCTGTAGCTGTTCATGCACATTAGCATCAACTACAATTTTCCTAATGAAATCCCAAACGAATTTGCAAGCCAATCACCTAGAATTTTAATATAAGCTAATATTTTATGTCTTAAGTAGTTCTTATCTAGAAGAAAACAGTAATGAATACATCAGGAAACTAAAAAGTGTTGAATTACCCAGACATACAGAACTGAGGCCCTCATTCTGCTGCGAAGAGGTACTGCGGCAAGTGAAGAACTGCAGTAGTGTTTGTGCAATCTCTTCTTGCGTAGTTCCAACAGATTTTGGAAGGAGAGATTTGAAAATTCATGTTTGCAAAATCAAATGCTTAAAATCTCTGGGTATGTTTCAGAACTCCTGCAGATGCAAATATTCTTTTAGTTTTGGCAGTATTAGCCTCGACACCATTTCACTTAACTCACTACAGTGACACAGACGTTTCCTAAAAGGAATTTTGGGACCCTTCCTTCTAAAACTGCAGCAATTCCCACTTGCACGTGAGGCAGTTCTTCAAATGTACAGACTGCTGGCTTCTAGCCTCTGCACTGCGATAAGAAAATGCACAGCCCATGTACCATCACATAGGATTAAACTACAGATTTTACTTTGCAAAGATCATTAAAATGCAACATAATTGCAGGCAGATGCACTGCCTTCATGGACTTCATGCTTGTGATACTGCATTGATGACCACAGAACACGCAGATAAAATCCAACAATCATACAAATATGCATTAAAAAAATAAACAACAATAGATCTGTCATTGTAAAAGCAGAATATAAACAACTACCAAGACTAAATTAAAATATTGGGTCGGAAAGGACCTTAAAGATCACTGAGCTCCAACCTCCTGCCATGGGCAGGGCTCACAGCACAGATCAGGCTGCCCAGGGCTCCATCCAACCTGACTTTGCTTCTCAGTAACAGTTCTCCTGCTGAATGTCACAGCTCTCCACTGGCACCAAAATAGCCAGTGGACCCAACAAAGGAGCAAACATAGCAGGAAGGACATTGCTCCCTGCCTGATCCGGCTGAGAAGTGGGAACAGTTAACTGCTGTAAGCGTGTTGAGCTCAATAGTGTGCATTCATTTTGGCTATCATCATCATGGTCCCGTTCCTGCCACGAGATGCAGGCTCTTGGACCTCTGCAGATCTTCACCCAGGCAGACCCTCATGTAGGAAAAGAACCTCATACAATATTCATTTACTTCCTTGTCTGTGCCTTCATGCACATTATTAAGAGATGCACAGCCCTCCAGCAAAATCTTTGCAACAAAATTAAGAAACACAGCCAGTCATCATGTCAAAGTCACAGGAGATTGAAGATTCTAAGCGCAGCAGCACAGGGGTAAATTAGTATAGTTGCCATCTGACCTCAGAACTGCACCCAATGCTGGCTTTAAACAATAAAAATAATGAGATTTTTAGATTCCATTTATTTTAATACAACAACCGACAGCTAAAAAAAAGAAAACATGTTTTGGCAAATAAAGTTAACACTGACAATTTTAGCAAAGACTAGCTGACACAGTGGCTTGTCATTGGGCAAATCTGGAGAATCACTGCTGCCTCTGAGGTATTATGTTTTTCATAGGAACAATGCATGAGTAATAAAGAACATTTAGTTCAGTTGTTATCTGGCTTTGTCAGAGATGTTCAGCATATTTAAGAAGAAATCAAACCATTTCCAGCATTAAAGTCTTCAATGCATTTTTTAAAAATACAGTCTTAAAAAAAAATAGTAGATATATGGTGAAATTCCACCCTGAGTGCTGTGCCACTGGGCACCCTTAGCAGACGGATGTATGACAGCAAAGTCAAACTCATCTAGTAGAACTGAGCTTTCAAATATTTCCTGTAAAGGACAAAGTCTAATTTAACAGCATTGGATGGGAGCTTTTTTTTTTTTGTGGTTGCTGTTTTGTTTTTAAACACCCTTCAAAAAAAAACTAGACAGTAGAAACAGAACATTGAAGATTCTACAGGCCTATGAAAACATTTAAAGAACTGTTGTGCTTTTCCCTATTCCAGACCACACAACTTCCCTGGTTTTCAGTTTCTCCATCTGAAAATCAGTGACAGCTTGCCACAGGAGTGGCAGAATTTGCTTTTATCCATCTTCACCTCATTTGACTTAGAGCCCATACACAGCTTAAAATCAACTGCAGCCCAAATCCAGTAAAACATGGAAAGCCAGTAGATTTGTTACAAGAAATGAGAAGAGAAACGTGGTGTGGGGAGCTGCAAGCAGCAACACGAAGGCAGGACATGCACAGGCACTCAGAACCCCTTCAGCTGTAGATGCTGGGAAGAAAATCTCCACTATTCATTAATTCTATGGAGAACAGATAGATTAAGCATTTTTCCTCTTAATTAATCTTGCTTTGGGCTATGAAGTTGAAGAGCTTCATTTATTTATATATTTATGTATTTTAAGGAAAATGTGTTGCTCACCAAAAACGCTCCACAGTGAAATCACAGCCTCAAAGCCCCTGGCCAAGCGTTTCAGAGTGCATATGTCTTTAATCACTCCATTATGGCATATAATTGTAGGCACAGAACACTTACTGCTTTTTATACTAAGCATAGGGAGATACTGTGTCTGGTTTTTTTTATATTCCCAAGTAAAGGCATTAACACCAGCCTTAAAGGACAGGCCACATTCCACCTGCATAAAGGAAACATGGAATGGGAAGAATCAAGCCTGTAGTTTTCTTTATGCTATTTGTTATCATACATTACGCTCAACATGTGCCCAATTGTATCAGCTCAAAACATTTCATGACATTAAATCCTTTAAAGTCCATTGAGCTGCTTTCGATTTACACAAACCAGAGATGAGCACCAAGCAGTGCAGGCAGCCCAGCGCCAAGCAGTGTTTTTGTTGGTGCTGCTCACTCCCCTTCATCACTCAGGCACACAACCCCTGGGAGGATGCACCTTCATGAGCTTACAGGGACCTCCATCAGCTTAAAATAGAGGGGTTTCAGCTGCTGCTTAGCAGGGACGTGGCACTGAGCAAGCCCACTGCTTGCTAGCACGCTTTGTTCAATACAATTAGTATGGTACCTTGCCAGACTAAATACTGAAGGGTAACTCAGGTGATACAGAAAGGTTATTCAACTTTTGACAGAAGGTTGGGGGAATTCTCTTGAAAACAGTAATTGTCTGTCAAATGAAATACTGCAATTTCTTGAACACAGGAAGAAACTACAGTATGAATTGGATTAGGTCAAGAGGAAACCAGAAGTGGGTAGGTTAATATAGAGGAACTTAATGAACTTACCACAAGGAGCCTTGGGCAGACTGGACAGAAAAAGGATAAAAACGAGCAAATAAAGCTCTCAAATTAATCTGATGTGTCTGCAGCTAAAGCAACTGAGGCTGTTTTCCTCCTTCTAAAGAACTTTGGTGGTCAATAGGTGGATAGGGAATTTCTTTCTTACAGCAAAGAAAGGCAAGGGAGGATTTAGCATGGATTGTTTTCCTGTGAGAGCCAAAGTCACAAAGTGTCACAGGGAGAATAAAATATCTCCGGAAGTGGTAACGTTTGCTGCCATAAGAAAACAGAGTCTAAACTAAAATAGTTTTCCAAAGATCCAGAACCTGATATAAATTCAATATTATCATCGGCTAATTTGAGTTAATTGTCTGCCCAGAAACCAATCTGCAAGATTGCCTTCAGGAAATAACGTTTAGGAAGCCCACAGAACGGTCAAACTAAGGTTTCATTTCAAACGCAATGATGCTAAGGTATCATTGCAAACACAAATGAGTTTTGGAACTGAGATTAAGAGAAGACATTCAATACAAACTGGTAAATTCAGCTGGCAGTAGGAGCAAAAAACATTTACAGAAATGGGTCTTAGCGATCATTTTAAGTAGGCACAACTACTGATTGCTATCAAATTCATTCTACTGATTAATTCTGTAGCCTGTATCTTACATCGCCCTTTTCCCCTGAGGCGTTTTCCCAAATGTTTTTGTTCTCAGTGCTCAAATGGAGCATTTATCTAGGATGGCTCCCTGCTCTTGGCTGGGAGAGGAACGTGCTTCCATCTGACACATAACACATTGGCAAGACAAATAATAATGGGCAGCAGTGATAAGAATAGCACATCTTTATAACATCCACTCTACGTATGATATAAATGAATGCATCAGACTACTCTTAAAATAGCCTAGTCTAAAATTAGTTAAGAGAGTACTGCCGTGTAACACTGTAATAGTACTGCAATTGGAAGAGTGGGACATAAAGACCCGATTCAGTGAGAAAAGACCCTGCCTTGAAAGCATAAATTCATTGCCACTAATTGTGCATAGCATCAGTATGAATTCAAACAAGAAAACACAACAAGCAGTACTAAATCTGACTTTTCTCAGGTAAAGCCTTCATTCTAGAGAAAATCAGTATCAAATTAGTGAGCCTATGTTCTTTCACACCACCTATAACATGTGTTATGTTTTGTTTGTTTCTTGCAGTTCCCTTGCTCTTCCATATCAACTTCCTTTCTTTTTCATTTTTACTTTATTTAATATTACTGTTGATTATTGGATAAATCCCAAGCTTCACATCTTTTTTAAAATGTCTTCTGCCCTGCAGCAGAGGTATGGCAGCTTCCAGCAGCTCGGGGCAGAGCTCCCTGACAACAATCTCTGAGCACCATAAACTTTCCACGTCGTCACACAAAAGTGTTGATGTGCTGCAGCCCTTCAAGCAAGGCAGCCAAAAGGAATTCTTTCTTTTTCAAATGTATTGAAAAGTTGAAAGAAGGATCACTGCGGCCACAGGACAAAACAGGAATTTTTCTCTTGCTATCTGTTCCTCTGATGACACATGTTGGGCATAGAATTGGCACAGAACAGAAATGCCAGCTCTACTGGCATTCAGAACAAACCATCAAAACAATGAAGACAGTAGCATATTTGATATTTTCAAGCAGCACTGACAACAAACAGTTGAACTGGCTTCAAAAACCCGTGCAGATGTTGCATAACACTGACCTCAGACATGCAGGCTCTTGTTCATCACCAGCAAAGATGCACAGCTAATTGTGATGACTATGTTGAAAAGCAGTGCTTTGTAGCTGAGAATTTTCTCTGTCAAATGGTGTTGTTGTGCTGTTTGTAGCTGTTCTCTGCAAATTAGTTTTCTTCTACATCTGCAGTCTCCCTCCCGAAGTTTTACCTTTTTAAATTTAATAGGAGCCAGCACACTCCAAAATAACCCACTTTGACTTGGAGCCTCATGAAAAAGATGCTTAAAAATCAATACATCTCTAGTGAGGGACATGAAGCTGTGTACTTCAGGCAGGCCAGGAACTGACCCATTTTTATCAACTCATTTGAAAAATAACTTTGTTTGCAGGTGCTTCATTATTCAGTAATATTTCCCAAAAATGTGATTTCTGAAAATATCTATTTCCCTAAAAGAAATGCATTGAAATGTTCAAAATATTAGAAGATTGGGACATAATGTTATACAAAAACAGGAATCCTTGACAAAAGAGTAATGCTTTGAAAAGATAAAGGGAAGATCAATACGTTCCATCTTTATAGACTCTCATCTTATATTCTCCTGTAGTCTCAAGTCAAAGCCTACTTTTGTCTGTAGTCTAACAAAGGGTATTGGTGTTAGGAAATGTACAGTAGCTATTTCTCCCTGATAACTTGTCATTTATAATCAGTCTGAAATTCAAAACAGCTTTTTCTTTACCTGCCCAAACCCCTTTGTAGAGCAGCTCACAACTGGCTGCAGCATGGTTCCTTGTTTTCCTGCACTGAAAAGGTTGTTTCCTTTGTTCAGTCGTTCCCAGTGTGGCTGTGTAAATGCACTGCCATCAATGGCCAGAGCAGAAAGCTGGAGGAACAATAAACCTGTTTAGCTGATGTAAGAGGTACTGCTGTAATACACGTACAGTAAACTTAAATATAAATTGCATATTGAACAGAAAAATACACCCAAAACTTCAGGTGAAGATGTGGGAAAACAGCCCCCGTTCACCAAAACTGCTGTTAGGTAAGTATTTCCCTTACCTGAAGATCTGGCATTCACTCCTGCACTGCACAGCAGCCATCGCTTCTTCCTTATAAAAATAAGGATTTGCGTTCAAAGAAGGGAGGACGCAAAGTAAGTTAACAAAACCTTAATGAACACAGTCCCTCACTAAGAGCCAAAGCTGCAGAAGGAAATTGCCCTTCAGAACACTGTGCTCAGTTCCACACGCTGGGACAAGCGGCTGAGGGAAGACAGATTTTCAATAGAGACCTCCTAATTCTGGGTCCTGACCTGCTGCCACCCAATGCAGACACCATGAAGTGAGACGTGCAGAAGATGCTGAACCCTCACAGCTCTTCCTGTGCAAAAGGAGGACTGGCACATCGGCGCAGAGGGCACGCTGTCTCACAGCAAGCAGCTGAAAGCTGAGGCATCCAAACACAAACGTGGTGCCTGGAGATTCAGCTTAGCAGCCTACTGTGTACTGCTCCTGAAAGTTAGGGAAGGGAAATGCAAAATAGCACTCTTTGGGGCAAGTGCAAACCACAGCTGCATAGCAATTCAAGAACAAAGCTGGTTATCTGTCTCAGAAGTACCTAGCCATGACAGCAATTGCTTGTATGTAGACACTGCTTTCTTCCCTCTCCACCTAATTATCTGTATTTAAGATGTGTCTGCTTACAAGAAGTCATGCAAGATGGAAAAGGAAATACAAAATCACTCAATTCTTTCACAATGACTTAAATTACCTTCTCTGGAAACACAGAGTCCCTGCGACATTAGTTGATGTCTTAGTCAAGAAAGCTTTATGGAGTCCTTCGGCAAGGTGCACTGCACTGCTGTTATTTCTGCCTGTAATCGTTGTAAGCCTTTCCTCTGCAGCTGAATAGCACTGATATTCTGCACTGTTTCAACTATTTCTGAAGTTTGTTTCTAAAGGAAAGAAGACACTGGTCATTTGATGCATGGAACCCATGCACTGGGTGCCATCCACGCTGCTCCTGCAGAGCATTTGCTCAAGAAAAAGGAAGTCCCTTCAAAATTAGATTAATTTTTGCTTCATGTGTCAAGCTGAGGTTAACTAACAATTAGATCAATATATATTGGTCAGTTTGCAGCATTCTACAAACACTGCACAAAAAATGTGGGCAATTAAAGAGTGCAAATGATAAAAATGTCCTTTGTCTCCTAAAACAGCTGAATTTCTGGGAGTCCAGAATATCAAACAGCAGAAGGTCTTTCAATGAAAATAATGCAGAGAAATGTTATTTTCATTCCTAGGGAGAGTAAATCTGACTTTCAGACCGAACACGTGGTAATTTCAAATCTCTGCTGAAGTTTCAATGCTTCTCAGAGTTTTTCCTTGACCATGTTACAAGAGAGAGGAGAGTAAGGAGGATGTGAAACACACAGAAGTTCTTGGTTTGTTTGCAAACACCCAAACCCACAATTGCAATAATTGGGATAGCCAGAAGTCTGAAAATCCACTTCTGTACTGGCTCTGATTACAAAATCTCAGCACTTTCCATTCCTACAGAAACCCATGAAAGCAGAAGGTGGATTTTTTTTAATCTGAAAGATCAGCCAACGCTTTCTCTTGCTTGCTTCCATTAATTCCAGCTAAGGAAAGCAGTGTGCTTACACCATCCAGAGGCAGGTAGTGAGCCTGGTACAGCACCTGAAGACTCAAACTGTTTCTTTAGCAGAGGCTGTAAATCAGCTAATTGCTTTATCCTGATATAATTACATTCACTATGTGCGTTAGAGCTGATCAAGAAGTAGCTGGCAGAATAACGGAGTAAATGATGTCCACAATCAGCCTTTAACTTACAAGCACAAAAAAGCACCCTTGGAAACTCAGAAACCCACTAGATTAAAGCTTAAGATCTCGATAAGGAAGCAGATGAATACTTGGAAGAAATGCTAAAAAGACAAAATGCTTTTGCTGCAGACAATAAAATGCTATAAGGAATGAAATCCATTTCTTATCTTCCAATACATTTTTTGTCCGGATGTTATTAGCACAGCATTGCTCTCATCATTTGTAAATGTCATTTAGAAATCCTTGTACAGCTGTTCTCTGCAGAGTAGATTGCAGAGTCCAGTCTTCCTTCTTTCAGCTTGTAGACCACGCTCTGTGTTTAATAAGGATGCTGAATATCATGTTTTTTCCATTTCTGCTTCAGTGGCTATGACTTTTCCCACACTGCAATGAACCACATTGCCCATCAACTCCGGTGCATTGCTGAGTGTCTGATATGGGAAAGGCAAAGGATCGCACTCTCAGCTGAAGAATTTGCACTTATTACCTTTCACCAAGGCACCACCTATTGTGGCTGGATTAGAAAAGTGAGCCGATCCCTCTGATACCCAGCAGCGCTCTCATGCACACACAGATTTCTGGCTGCTCTGAGCCTCCCGACTACAAATGCAACTTCACAGCTTGCCAAGAACATTGCAGACAACAACAGTTATTTACATAGATGAGATTATCACCTCTGTTCAAACCCGCTCAGAGGTGCTGAGGCAAACAGAAAGGGAAAGTTTGGGTTTGATGCTATGCCAAAAACTCTTCCTTGACCCAGAAGCTACCTGCAGACAGACCTAAAATACATGCCAATAGGAGCCATTAAAGGCTGCTTGGACATGGCTCCTCTTCATTCCCACCTAAATAAAAACAACAAATGCTACCCCACCACAGCATCTGAACAGCAACCACTTGGAGATGGCGAATTAAGCTTGTGCAATGTAGACAGGACTCTGTGCTGCCTTCAACTGCTGTGTGCAAGCTATCTAGAAACCTAGAGCACAGTTTAAACACTAGATGAACTGTACCTCAGCCATTTATATGAGTTACACACACGTTTGTTGAACTGTGAAATTCCAACTGTTAAACATGCAGCGGTTGCATCTGAGAACTCTGAAATCAGAAAAAAGCCAAGAGCTATCGCATGACTTGGTGTACAAACTCCGGATCAAAAAAAAGCAGATGCTGAATGTTTATTTCTACTTGGAGCTTTACAGTGCACTTTGTCGTAGATATTTCAGTAGATGACACCCAATTCTGAAATGCTGCTTGGAATTTCTAAGGAGGAAACAGAACTCTCCCTGTTGAATTAATTAATTTCCTCTAATTTACACTATGCATGTCCTTTGTCAGTGCTTGTGTTTAAAGAAAGGATGTCTTAAATAATGCCAGAGTCGCTTTAGATTTTGCAGTGTACTAACTGCTAGCTTAGTTTCCCATTCTTTAATGAATCTTTTGTTCTGTAATCACATCACACAAGGGCTATGAAAATACAATGGAGGAAAAAAGGAGGGAAGGAGTCGAGTCCAGTGCAGAAATCAAACAGAAGCGAGCTCCTACCTCATTACTGTCAATCCAGAGCCAAAACAGCAGGAAATCTCCTACGAACTACCACTCCTAACCTCCTCAAAACCCAACAATATAGTAGCACCTTCAGTACTGCTATCAGTGTCATTTTATCCAGAGGAAGCAGCTGGGGAGGCAGGTTGTTCTCAAATGCAGCACGCTAACTGTGCATGTGACATTAGGATCTCTTCCCATGCTGCAGTGAGCACAGGTCCCAGCCAGCCGAATGGCTCTCATAGCATGCTCTGCATCTGGTGCAAATTCAAAGTAAATAAGACTGCAGCCCAACGCAGAGAAGTGTGCCACATTTGCCAAAATATTAATGTGTGTTATGTTCCACTGTTAACTGAAAACATTTCCTAATCTATTGCCTAATTCAAACAAACAAAATTAGTATAATTGGAGAGCTGTGTTTACGAATACAAAACATAAAAAGAGGCAGCACATATTGTCTTGTTGTCATTCCTATCAGGCAGCAATGTTCAGTTCTGCTCCTTGCAGCCTGAGCCTACTTGTATAATGGATGGCAACATTTATCATAACAGCAGTGCAAAAGCATCAATTGCTTGATGAATTTATTTGTTCCTGCCCAGAAGTGAAGCTATGATTGGACCACTTTATAAACATCAAGCTGATGTAGACTCAGTTTGTCACTGTTGATTGTACTTAAAGGGGAAAAAAACAGGAAAAAAAAAAGAGACCATGATTGAGAGGCTGGAGATTGAGTGAAAAGACAAATCCTCCTGATTAGAAGAAAACAACCATTATTTTACTTATAAAAAAAAACGTAAACACGTTTAATACATCCCTGATCAACAGCTGCAGTAGTAACTACTTTCTCTGGAAGTTTTTTTTTCCTTACAAAACCAAATCCTGGAGGTAGAAAGCTGTAAAGAAAGCATCAATCTCCCAAACCAACATGACAAGGCCCCCGGGCTTAGCAAAGCCAAAACACAAACCACATCAAATTCCTATTTTGTGAACTGCTTGTCTTGCATAGAGAGATGCAGAGCCATATTCTCTTCACTCCGGCACTCTGCAGTCATTTAAATCTGTGCTATTCTTCCTGGGTAGATCTTGCACTTCTTGTGCACAGATGAAAGAAAATCCAATGGGAAATAGGTCCAACGTCTCTAAATTTGGTAGGTTTCCAGACTCACTCTAGCAAGTCTGAAAATTCTGGAGATGGAAATGATCCACGGCACTCAGTCTGTACACAAAGTATAGTTGTTTTTCAAATATTACTATATTAAAAGGGAAAAACAAATCAAAACAAAAAAAACAAAACCAATCCCTTTTCAGTTCCTTCAACTTTCCTCTCAAAGAGCAGAGTGCAACAGGGTCGGGAGGTACGAGTTAGGAATATTCAGTTATTTTTTGAAGCAGTCTCAATCCAGTTTCATCTCAGGGTGATTCACAGACTGAAAAACAACACAAATGCCATTATGGGCTTCAGTGAGGTTAAGAGTTCATCCTTAATGAGATATTA